CTGCTTAGAACTCATTAATTAGGTTGCCAGATTGTTTCGTAATACTATTCCATTTAGAAGGGCTTTAAGAATTCACTGAGATCTTAGTAGAGGATGGACTAATTTGAACTTAATGACAGAAGAGGCCACTTGCGTCTCCAAAAGAGAATTTTCTACTTAAAATAATGAGCCTGGAATTTCCTATGGCTGTTTTTGTTCCTAGAATGCAGAAAACCAAATTGCTCAGCAGTCTATGGCTACATTTAGCATCCCTAGTCCTCCTCAGGGCACAGTGTTAAGCAATCCTGGTTGATGTTGCAAACAATAAGCAAAATAGAAGCCAATCTCTCAGTGTGAAAGTTCATTGAAAGGGCTTAAAGTGTCAGTTAAATTCCTTTGTTAGTTATGTTAGCCATCAATGGATGGGAAAGATTAACAATGCACAAAATGTAAAGAAAAAAAAAACAATTGTGGAAAAAATAGGGTAGGAAAACATTTCTGGATAGAATTGCCTTTACTCATTGACAAAATGCAAGTTTAGAATTTAAACTTTCACAATGAATTTTTAACTACAGCTCATCGGAGACAACCTATATATCCTTAAAGGAAGGCAGGGCAGTAAGAGGGGAGAGGTCTATAGTTTTGCTCTTCACCATTTACTTCAGATCCAGCCCTGTGCCTCATCTTAAACTTGAGAGGAAAATGTCTTCTTGCAAAAAAACCCTTTTAGGTGAAAATCTAAGATTGCTTGTTTTCACTAGAAGGTACAGTGGGATGAGTGGGATATGTAGAGTTTCTACTAAATAATAAAGTGAGCCAGCTGATTAGTAGTTAGAAGCTGTTGTAGGCCTGCCGAATGGTACACAGAAGCTAGGAGCTAGGCAGACAATGGCAGAAAAGTTTAATTATAATTCTGCCAGAGAGATAGGAGATGAAGACTGGCAGAGGTCCCAGCATTTTTTTTTTAAATGGCAGGCAAGAGTATTGCACATAAATAATAAAATACATAGGAGAGTCCTGGCCATGCTCTCAGTGGTTAGAGCATCAGACTGAAAACTGGAGGGTCATGGTACGAATCCCCATCAAGTGCACATACCTGGGTTGCAAGTTTGAACCCCAGCCCTGGTTTTGGTGCGTGCAAGAGGCAACCAATTGATGTGCCTCTCTCACATCAATATTTCTCTTTCTTTCTCTCTCTCTACCCCTCTCTCAGTCCCTCCCTTCCACTCTCTCTAAAAACCAAAGGAAAAAATATCCTTGTGTGAGGATTAATAGAAAAAGGAAAAAATACATACAGGAAAACATAGGTACTAAACTTATGGACCTTGGTCTCAGAGAGGTTTATGTGAACTTGCTCCTAAAGGCAAGGAAAGTAAAAGCAAAAATAAATGAATGGGACTACATCAAACTAAAAAGCTTCTGCACAGCAAAAGAAATCATCAATGAATCATAAAGGCAACCAACTGAATGGGAGAAGATATTTGCAAACGATACCCCCAATAAAGGTCTAATATCCAAAACATATAAAGAACTCATACAACTCAACAACACCACCAAAAAACAAACCAATTAAAAAATGGGCAGAGAACCAGAAAGACACTTTTCCCATGAAGACATACAGATGACCAACAGATATATTTTAAAATGCTCAACATCACTACCTATAAGGGAAACACAAATCAAAACCACGAGATATTAACTCACACTTATTGGAATGGCTATTATCAATAAGATAAGAAATAAATGTTAGAGAGGCTGTAGAGAAAAAGGAACCTTATACACAGCTGGTGGCAATGTAAATTGGTACAGCCATTATGGAAAACAGTATGGAGGTTCCTCAAAAAAAAAAAAAATTAAGAATAAAGTTACCATATGACTCAGCAACCCCTCTTCTGAATATCTACCCTCAAAATTTGAAAATATTTATTTGTAAAGCTATACACTGAGTGGCCAGATTATTATGACCACCTCATCAGTACAACGAAGTGAATTAGTTATGCAAATAATAATAATAAAACCTTGAGAGTATTTTCTTAGGAAGTTTTCAATATTCAGTAATTTTGGAAGTGTCAATGAAGTACTAATGGGGTGGTCATAATAATCTGGCCACTCAGTGTAGGATATGTACCCCTATGTTCACTGCAGCATTATTCATGGTAGGCAATACAAGGAAACAACCTAATCAACTAATCCTCGATGGATAATGGATACGAAGCTGTGGTATATATATATAAAATGGAATACGACTCAGCCATAAGAAAGGATGAAGCACTGCCACTTGGGACAACATAGATGGATCCTGAACCCTCAAAGTACTAGTATCACGCTAAGTGAAATAAGTCACATTGAAAAGGATAAGAACAATATGATTTCACTCATAGGTGGGGTATAAAACAGAAAGCAATAAACTCATAGACACAGACAACAGTATGGTGTTACCAGAGGGGAAGGTGGGAAGAGGAAAAATGGTCAAATATAAGGTGACAGAAAGGACTAGACTTTGGGTGGTGAGCACACAACGCAATGTATAGAAGGTGTATGATAGAATTGTATACCTGAAAATTTATATAATGTATTGACCAATGGTTACCCCAATAAATTTAATTTTAGTAAGCAGTGTTCACAGAAGAGTTTATAGGATAAGTGGATTCCTGAGGAATGGTTCTGAAAATGAATACAAAATTTAAATCTTACCAGCAAAAATATATTGGCCTAGACTGTGAATGAGGATAGGTAGATTGATGAATTTGATTTAAATGAATTCTATTCATTTGATTAAATGAATTTAAATGTTGGTAAAGATTAAAATTTTAATTTAAATGCCAGTCTGAGAAGTATAGGATTAAAGGAAGATTGAGATTTACATATGATGACCAGATTAAAAAAAAAAAAGGGAAGCCAGCAGCAGAAAGCAACAAATGTCAACCAGGGAAAGCACATGGATCTTTTTTTTGCAATCTGTACTCAGGTTAAAAAAAAAAAAAAAAGAGGCATTAGGTAAGAAAAACTGCTTTATGTGTAACAAATCCCTTGGAAGCTCAATGGAATTATAGATTTCTTACTTTAAATCGAATCCATATTGTAATTTTTTGACCCAAAAGAGGCAGCTGGTTTTACCCCTATTTTGTTAGTTAAAAAATTAGCTTTTGTTTCTTAAAGCAAAAAAGGAACTGTCTCAACCACCTTAGGAAAAGCTGAGGTGGTTGAGACAGTTCCTTCTTTCTCTTTTAAAATTCTCCTAAAGGGGCCTGGCCAGAGTGGCTCAGTGGTTGAACTTCAAAGTATGAACCAGGAGGTCGAAGTTCTATCCTGTTCGGGGGCATATGCCTGGGTTGGAGGCTCGATCCCTAGTGTGGGGAGTGCAGGTGGCAGCCAATCAATGATCCTCTCTCACCATTGATGTTTCTGTCTCTCCTTCTCCTTTCCTCTCTGAAATCAATAAAAATATATTTTAAAAAAATTCTTCCAAAGGGATGCAGTCAGCTGCAGGAAGAGAACATTGGGGATGGTAACATGCTCATCAAAACTCCTGTTTCAAATAGTGTCAGTATGATATTTATAACAAATCTTTTCTTGTTCGTGGAGCGAATTGCTTGTTGGGGAAACTGCCTTACCTTAAGAGGCCAATCTAAGAAAAGATCTCTGTACCTACACTGGTTAGAGGAATCCAGGCAGTGGCCAAGCAAATAATGAGTCAGGGCTGAAGGAAGGGGACCGCACAAGTCCTTGGTGAGAAAAATCTATAGTAACTGAAAGGTACTTTGTGAACCTCTAGGTCTCAGAGGGCTGTAGACAGGTTAGATAAACCCCTTGAGTTGTTGACAGAAAAAAAAGCATAATGGAAACTAGAGATGTCAGAATGTTGAAGACTTAGAGAGAACCTCAAACTAAGTTGGGAAATAACTTCCTGAGTTTATTCATCATAAAAAGAGAACAAAAACGGTGACAAGGTAGACAAAAACACCTTGCAACCCTGATTAAAATGTTATGAATTTAATTAAGTGAAAAGCTTCGGAAACATGAAGGACTTGAATTACACATTAGTTTTCAGATTTCCTGGAATTCCAATAAAATATTCAAATTTTAGATGTTTAAAGGACATGCTTACATGAGATACAAATGCTACGCAGATAATATGAAACTTGGATCTTTTACCTTTATCTGCTATGATACAGGAGAGTAAAAATAATACTAAACGAATGAAAAATAAACCACAAACATTGTTTTTCAGATATTATAGGAGGAAAATAATTTCAAGGGCCCTCATTTAGAATATATTCTACTAAAGTATTTAATTGTATTTAAATTTGAAGCAAATATATTTTAAAAGTCTACTTTGCAAATAACAATCAAGAACTTATCATTTCACCCAATTTTCACACCAGCTTTCCCTCCTGTTTACTTTAAACAGCTCTACTTGCCAAGTCAGAAACTGTGCCTTCCACAAATTAGCTTTTACAAATCAAATGGTTGAAACATTATGCCTGGATGTTTAGAGGTAGAACATTATTTTGCCACCAAAAAGTTCTCTATCCTTGTACATTCTGGACTCATATTACATGAGTGAATGAGATTGTGGCACAAGTGTGTTCTTTTTTAAAATTACATCTAAATCGACTCTGAAGGCAAAGCCTTAAAGTGCTGCAAATTATGATGATTGGCTTCAGTATAGTTTTGTTCACTTCAAGAATAGGGACAGCCACACTTTTGTTCAATAATTCAGAAATCGTTACCTTCTCTTCAAATGTGTAGTTATCTCCAAAGAAGCGTGGAGAAAGGTAAGCATGGAAATAAAACCCGACTTCTGTTACTGAACATTTTTCCCTTATGTGACTTTCAGGAGAAACCGCTCAAAAACAACTTTGAAGGGATTCTGTTCTCACATATCCACATAGTGTTTTCAGGACATCGTATTTTCAATATTGCTACAAAATATATGTTGTTAAGCAAAACTGTTACAAAGTCAAGTTTCATGACATAATTTCCCATTAATTATTTCATTTTGTTTTGTGTATTTGCAGGCAACTCAAATAGGAAAATCAAAACCCCCAATTCAAACGCAGCATCAAATTCAACAAATGAAACAATCTATGAAGCTGATGATGTAATTGAGGAAAAAACAATGGATACAACACAAATCAACATCGTGTATTATTAAAAATTCTGTGTTATAAAAGCTCACAGGAGAGATGGAACAGTAAAAATAAAGTGCATTTTAAATAGTTCGTAATAATACTTTTAAAAAATTCACCACTCACAAAGCAAAACATAGCTGCATTTTTAATCAATCTTTTTATTAAACACCCACTAAGGATTTAATAGATTTTCATGTACATAAGTTTACTTTTACTTGCTAATTAAAATGTACATTATACAAAATTATGCTAATACTTTAGGCAAAGTTAAATAATTTATCAATTAGCAGATAAGCAAGCCTATCTCAGTGAGAAACAATGAGACATACTACCAGAATTTCATGACATTTTGGTACTTAGAGGCAGTTATTTTTTTAAAGCGATGGCGCAGATAGGTAGATTTTGGGAGAATGGTCTTATAAACTAGAGGTGGAATGCTCCTAAGTCTCTTAAAAGTCAACCCATGCCTTTTTTTAGAGGATTTGCTGGCACACTCATCATATATTCATTGCCTTTATAAAAGCTAACATTCAAAACCAAAATACATTACAATGTATAATCTGCATAATACATGTTTTCTGCATACTGAAGGATAACCATGACAAAAGTCCTTCACTGATAAAGTTCCTGGATCTACCTAATGCCACTGAGACAGCTACAAATAAACTACAGTTTCAGCAAATTATAATTGTCTTAAAAGATTTTTTTCCCCTTAAGTGGTATTTCTATTACAAGAACACAGACTTGGTTTTATAATAGAATTCAAAAGGAAAAGGAATCATTTTAAGCTGGCTCTGCCGAACACATACATCTCTGTGTTGCATAAAGTCTGCAGTTGGGATACTAGTCTTCTTCAAAAGTGGTGAATATAGCTTCTGTGTTCTGATAGGAAAAAGAAAAAATGCTTTATTGCTCTCAGGGATAGAACTTTTGATCATTAGGTGGCCAAAATTTCTACCAAGAACTGGGGGTATCTTCTAAACGAGTGCTGTGCAGTGGAAGTTTCTGAGAAGATGGGAATGTCCTTTCTCTATGTGCCCGGTCTGGCAGGGTAGCCACTCCACACTGTGGCTACTGAGCACTTGAAATGTGACCAGTGCAATGGAATACATTTTTATATTTTTAGTTAATTTAAATTTAAATAGCCACATGTGGTTATACTGACATCATAGTTCCAGATGTAACGCCTACTGCCTGTTATATTTTACGTTTCAAAAAAGCGCAATTTGGTCAGTGTTTAGATATTAAGATTGCTTAGGGTGCATGGGAAGTTTAGAAGTTAAAACACTACATTACAAAAGTTTTCATGTGGTCACAAAAGCCAAGAATTTTCATTCTTTTTGTGAAAGCATGCATAGCATTTGTGGTACTTCTTGATCTTTTAGCTAGCTTGATTTAAAAAAATTCCAGAAAATCAGCTATCTTAATGCACACGTTAATAATTATATTACTAATTAGATGTTGCCTCTGGTGAAAATAAATGTAGGTTTAATTAAGGCACTGGTACAGTTCTACTTTTCTGCTCAAGGGGAAGGACACAGGCCATAGATGACATAAGTAGGAAACTTAAGATTCAGGGTCTGCAAAATGCTCATGGTCCCGACTCCTGACCTGTGGGACAGGCACGGGCTGGGCGTGGCTGGATGCCTCATGGGTGTGCTCTGGGAGACACATCCCAGTCTCCGGCACTGCATTTTTTAAAATATATTTTATTGATTTTTTACAGAGAGGAAGGGAGAGGGATAGAGAGTTAGAAACATCGATGAGAGAGAAACATCGATCAGCTGCCTCCTGCACACTCCCCACTGGGGATGTGGCCGCAACCAAGGTACATGCCCTTGACCGGAATTGAACCTGGGACCCCTGAGTCCATAGGCTGATGCTCTATCCACTGAGCCAAACAGGTTGGGGCAACACTGCATATTTTTAGAGGAGTTGGGAGAAGACAAATGAGGTCAGAAGACCCTGAGCTTCACAAGTGGGATTAGCGTTATGCAGGCCTAAGAAACCAGTTCTTGAATGCTGGCTGCCCAAGAGGCTTGAATCCCAGCACTAGGACCAGGTGGAGTTCCTGAAGCACTCCCTGTCTAGCCAGGTAACCTGAGGGGGCGCCACAGGGCTCATCCAGTGAACCAACAGGTTGTCTCTGTCACTGGGAAGCAGTTGTGCTTCACAGATTGAGACAAAATATTAAAAACAAGAAGCCTTACAGACAACAGCGTGGTGATGGCCAGAGGGAAAGGTTGGAGGTATCTGGAGGTGAAAGAGGGGGAGAATGGGAACAGAGAGACTTTGCTTGGGGTGAAGGCCATTTGTTGCAGTGTGATGACGTTTTGTTGTGCTGTACACTTGAAACATATATGGTTTTGTGAAACAATGTCACATCAATAACTTTTTTTAAAAAAGCAAGAAGGCTTATCAAATTACAGCACAGCCTGTACATTTTAAATGATTTATTTGGACATAACAAATACTAACATAGTAACAGAATTTGTCAGTCAAAAATAATCTAAAATAAAATTAAAAACAAAACACATTTCATAGTATGTACATATGCATGTACTTCTGGGGACAGGTCTGATAAAGAATACTGCAACTTTATGTGTGTTTAGGAGACAAGTCTCTGTATGATTTTCGGTAATAAGCAGATCTTAGAAAAGTGGGACTAGAAGAGTACAAATAATAGTACGTAAAGATTCTAATCATTTTTATGTGGCCTTCTAATGAGAGCAATTTTATCTTTTAAAACTGGTGGAATTATGAAATAAATGAAACCAAACCCCAATAAGTCATTTCTTTCCTTAAAATTCTGTCATGGTGCCTCACTGCTTACACATTAGAGTCCAAACTCCCTAAACATGGAACCTAAGACCTCCTCCTTTTGTTCCCAAGAACCTAGATGGGAGTCTGAAATCTTACCTCTTCGGCCTCACAAATTGCTTGTTAATTCTGACACACATACCCGCCAGCCTCCTCTGTGGTCTTTGTTCAGTGTCCACTGGTCAGGAACTACCATAACTGCCACCCTCATCCTCAACCAAAATGCACTTCAAGCACGACTTTCCCTAAGGAGCCTCTTCCAACTTCTCCAGAGCTGGTGAAGTACCCCTATGTGTTTCTCTAAACCCACGTTCCGGTCAATTACTGCACTAAAGTGTTGTGTTTCTCCTACCAACTGAATGACGAACGTCTTGAGGGAAGCCAATTAGTCTTTTTAATCTACTGTGTATTCCCAGTGCTTAGTAGAGTGTTTGCCGTGCCAGGCGATGCAATAAATGTTTGTTGAAGAAAGGCCACGATGGAATTTTTATGAGCACTATTAATAACTCTTCAACCTAGTTTAGCTGAAGGTGACTTAGGGTTCTATAATTTGAGAGTGGTAAGAATAGATACATACAGTCATTTTGCTCATTTACTGATGTTTTGGCCTCGAAGATCAAAAAGCAGGTGAGTATTAAATGTGAAGCACTGGAGAGTCCTCTGAGAGATGTTAGTCAACAGATGATCCGGAGAAAATAGGGAATTGTGTGGGGAGTGGGTCCATCACCCCAGAAGCATTAGCCTAAATAATCACATCAGATAATGTGATTATTGATACAGGTCTAAACAAAAATTCTGTCCGCATCTAGCAAAAATGGTGCACATTGGATGGTGAGGATGTGAACCAAATATCAATTATCTGCTTGCAAAAGCTGAATGTGCTTAACAGCAGTATTAATAAATTTGACCTTTATCATTGCAGACTGCTACCTGCTCATCTGTAATAATTTCTAAAATGAACAATATCACCTGAATTTTACTAAAATATCAATACTCATACATTAAGGACTGGAAGGGATCTTAGAGATAACTTGGTACAATATTTTGTAGATGAAAAGCACCAAGGCCCAGAGAAACTAAATGACTCTGCTGAAGGTCACATAGGTAGTTAGAAAGCCCAGGACTTTTTGGATTTTTACTACAAAATTGACTTTTCTGCCTGCTAATACTGCCAGAGAGGAAATTTCACTATTTTTTCCCCTAAAATATACTACTGAGATTTGCGTTGAAGACCAATAATAATAGTATCACTTTAGAAGAAAATTACTTTAGTAAAAGCAAATTTATTTAATTCAGAGGAGGTGTTTCATAAACTATTCTCATATGATAGAAAATTTACCTAAGAATAATTCCAAGATTGTTTCTGGGGGAAAATAATTACCAAGCATTAAAATCTTTCAATTTGCATACCACAGAGTTAATGAGAGCTGAATTTTGTGTAACTCTCTGAACCATTATTAATCATGTCACCATGCAGAAATAAATTTAATGAGCCAAATTATAATCTTTACAATTAACAGAATTAAACTTACAAATAACTAAATTAACTCTATTCACTAAAATTATCATATTAACCACGTTACACACTCAATAGGATGAAACCATTCTTTTGCATATGGCACTTTCCAATAATTTAAATAAGACTTTTTTTTTACTTAGTTGGTCATTTCGATAGCCAAAGAACTATATTCTGAGAAAATACAGATTTAAAAAATACATAAAATACAGCAAAGGCAAAACAAGCCCTTAAAAACCTAATAACTCTGTGTTTCTCTCAAACAACTGACTGAACTTAATTTAAACAAGGTAATTTCTTTTCATGGCCATATGACTAAATTAGGTATGGAAAAGCTGTAAGCGTGAGAGCTTCCATGGCTGCAATGCAATAGGACAGGGATGTGGTGCAGCCTCCCTAGAAGCTGAGCATGGTAAGCATACGTTAACAGGGGTTGTGAGGCTCCCCAGGCTTACTGAAGTCATGCCAGGTGGAGGTGTTGGGTGAAGAAAGAATCAGTACACCTCTCCAGCCTGTGTGGATACGTGTATTTACCTGATTTCCCCATAATGAGTTCATCTGTAGCCATGTCTGTAGGTTACCAATTTAAAAACTTACAACTGCACCGCAGTGAGGTACCTGCAATCTTTGGTGCTGTGTATTGGTAATGGATTGACTCCTGATGCTGCTACAATAAAAGTATTTAAGTTATTGGGCATAAGGGATACCCGAATGTTAAGTAAAGTAACTAACACTGATCACTCTGACATTTAAAATGTAAGAAACACTTATATCTACTAATATTGTTTGAAAATGTTTACCCATATAAAATTTCCATTGTTATATAAAGGCTTTCATGATGCAACTCCCTGGCTCTTAAATTTTAAAAAGTACAAAATAAAACTCTTAATCCTAAATTTTTATCACTGCTCCTGAGGTTTATGACTGAAGTAAAAGAAAGAAACACCCCAAACTGGTCATTTATGAAAGCATTAATTTGGTGTGAAACCTGATTCAAAACTACAAATTATTTCAGACAAATAAATATATATGTTCACATTT